AGTCGCCACCACAATTTAAATGAGAAGGCCCTAACCATATCGGACAGGCGGCGAATGCCAAGCCCACCCTCCTCTTGCGGCTGTGCAATATCCGCCCAGGAGATCCAATGGCGGCGGCGGTGCCCGTGATAAGAACCCTAGAAACAACGAGCAAATAGCTGCTCCACGGAGTAAGCACAGCCTGGGAGGGCTAAGTACCTGCAGCAGGTAGAGGGGGAACGAGAAAAGGGTGCTCCTGATCAACTGTAGACGACCCCCATGTGATAGAACTGAGCGATCTAACGCTGCCGATAGCGACGGAGTTTCCCAAGGAGTTCCTCATAGAGAATACTACGCCGACTGCCCACATAGAGCGGTGCGCCAAGATACGTGAGGGGAAATCCAGCCGTGCCGAAACCATTCACAGACTGAAGCTGCCGCTGAACACTCTCCGGGCATTGGCGACTGAAGACAAGCTGGTTTTTTTAACAGTTCACCTTCTGACCAGTAATCCGTGCGTAGGTCGTCAGGAAGTCCGTTAAAAGGCTGATGCGATCGCCGCAGGTATTGGCAAATATGAGAACATAATCCGCATAGGCTAGATGCGTCAACCAGAACCGACCACGACACCGGTAATACAGATCCGGGAAACGACTATATAGGCGCTCCAAGCCGCGTGATAAAAGATCTGTAGCCAAAACAAAAAGGGTCGGGGACAGGGGGTCTCCCTGCCTGAGGCCTCGCGAGGAGGGGAAGAAACCACCCAGGTCCCCATTCACAAGGATCGAGTACCAAGCATGCTCTACACAATTCATAATCAAGGTTATGAAATGAGCCGGGAAACCGAACCTGGTAAGAGCATGTCGCAAGAACCGCCACGACACCCGATCGTATGTCTTGTTAAGGTCCAATTTCAGCAATACGTTATGCGAGTCACCCCTCAGATTAAGATCATGTACCATTTTTTATGCCAGCAGAATATTGTCAGCGATCGCCCGACCTTTGACAAAGCCACTCTGATGCGGTGACAGGAGCTGCGGCAGTAGCGGGCCAAGGCGCGTGGTTAGTAGCTTAATGAAGATCTTACAACTCACATTACAGAGGATGATAGGCCGATTTTTGGGGGATTAACGGAGACCTTGGGGGATTTTTTAAATCCTCCAGGGGGGTCTGGCAGGGAGATCCGTTGTCGCCTACTCTGTTTGTGCTTGCGGCAGACCTGTTATCGAGAGGGTTGGAGCATCTCTACCAGCGACTTCCAGACCTTTATTTTAGATGTCGAAGAGGGTTTCGGTTGTTCCAGACTCGACGGCCTGTATTTCTCTGATCTCCTCCACGATGAGTCATTGGTCGCTTCAGCAGTGCTTTCTTGTTCTTCGCATACGCTTACGGGACGCGACTTGGAGGATCTCACACATTTATCGGGAGGGGAACCGTGTTGCGGATATGTTAACAACGATGGCTGTCTCCCTTCCGATGGAGCGGATACTACTTCCGGCGGATCTTCCCCGGGCGACTCGAGGCCTCCTTCGAGCGGATGTAGAGGACTTCCGGGCTTCCGTTTCAGGTAGCAGACTTCATCTTGATATACTTTACTATTTCCGGACTTTGCTTATTTGCTACTTAGGCTTGATAGGCTTAGTGTTGGTTGGTATTGATAGCTTAGGAATCTAGCCTTAGGATTGATACTTTGATTACCTAGGCTGGTCATGCATGGTTGTTCACTTAGACTATGTAGCTCTACTAAGAACTACGTATGGCTTGATCCCGTTCGGGTACGTAGACAGCCCACTTTGGGTGCAGTCATTGCTATATAATTTTTTTAAAAAAAAAACCCTAAACCCTAAACCCTAAACCATCCACACAAAAATGGAGTTCACAAAATTCCTTAATTTTGCAATCAAAGAGTTTTGAGTACTCCTCAAAATTAAATAGTTTTTGGAACTACTTCTTTAAGTCTATTTTTTATAAAAATAACTTTCACTTGGACATTATTTTAAAAACCCTTCTTTAACCCTAGCCTCCCCAGCAATGCTCTGTAAATCTATTCTCCGATTTCATCCCCAATCGCCAGATTTTTTCGCTCGCCATTGCTCTCACAACGCGAATCGCATCTAGAATCATACTCTTTTTGCAGAATCCGGCAACCAGAACGGCGTAGAAATCCGCATCTTCCACCGCTCCGCCAGGGAAATCTAGCCGCGACAACTACTAGAATACCTTAACTGCGCTCTTTGGCCGGCCGTTGTGGAAGAAGGACAAGACGAGCATCTTCGCGACCAGAAGTATGACGGAGGAATTTGTTGTGGTCGGATTGTGCTTTAAAGAGTTGAGGAAGTGCATAGGGAGGGTGAGATCAAGCTCGATAGCAGGCTGTTGGTGATGGTGGAGAGCGGAAGAGAGCTGAGCGGTGGATTGACGGTGGAGAGGACGGCGGAGAGGAGTTGAACAGCTTATTTAAGGTGGGTTGAGGAGCTTTAGAAAAAAAAAATTGACCTCAAGGCTTTTTATATATTTATTTTTATCTAATATATACAAATATTATATTAATAATATAAAAATTAATTTATTTTATTTGACTTATTATACATAATAAATAAGTGTATTTATTTTCTTACAATTATTAAATTTAAAAACTTAAATAATAAAAAAATATTATACAAATTTCTAAATAAATTCGTTAGTCAAGCTAAATTTTGAAAGGTGTGCTTCTTCAAGCAAGATTTGGGACTTTTTACTGTTTTTTATTTTTTCAAAAATTTTAACAATCACAATTTATTACTCATAAATAATTTTTAACTTTTTAATAATAATAATTTTATATAATACAATTAAATATAAAAATGTAAATATTTAGTTATAATTAACACAAATTAATATTCAAATTACACTATTATTATTTTCATAAATTTAATTTATTACACATGTTATATTATTATTGTTGCGGAAATTCTCAGGAAATCAAGATGAGATAATAAAGACAAAAGAACACAAGAATTTGGTAACCCAGTTCGATCACTATGATCTACGTCTGGGGGCGCTGCCAAGCCAGGAAGTACGCAGGCTCATGTTAAAGTGAAAATACATGGATATTTATAGCCTAAGCCTTTGACAATAATATCCAAATCATATCTCTAAAATCTAAAATATAATATTCAAATCATATCCCTAGATTTTAGGATATAATCAGGCTTCATATCCCAACAATCTCCCACTTGAAGACTGATTTCATCTTCCACTTCAACATACCTCATCCAATCTCCACTCCTCACCATTCGGTGTTCTGATTCGAATCATTCTTTTACCTATAATTTTCAGTGTCTCATCAGACAACACTAAAATTACCTGTGGTATAGGATTCCATGATTCCCGAATCACTGCATGAGTGGAATGACGCTCTTGAGACCAAAATCCATGACTTCATTGGACTGCTGACGCTCAGAATCAGCGCATCGGATATCTCCTCCGTTGCGTTTGCTGAACCCTGATCCTTCTCCGGCGCCCTGCACTGTCGTTTCAAGTGCCCCTTGCAGTTCCAACATACCACCTGACTTGCATCTTCTTTGTCCTTATTCTTCGGCTTTAACTTTGACTTGATCTTCACCCTTTCCTTTTGCCTCAAATCTAAATTCAGTCGAGACATTCTCCCAAAGGGTTAGTCGAACCACACTCATCGTCTTCCTGTTGATCTTTTTGTATTCGGCTTCATCCATGTCTTCGGATTTCTCCTTCAATACCGCATCTAGATCTTTACCATTCATGTAATCTTCTATATGCATATGTTAGAAACCAAAGTTCATACCATCAAATATCTTGACAACATGACGATCACCCATCTTGACTCCCACAAACAAACCCAAGGCTCACTTGATATGAGAGCACATCTCTGATATCTTCTCCGATGCGTTTGCCGAAAAACCCTTATCATTCCCTGCCTACCTTGCACCGCCTATCACAAAGGGACCCGCTGCCTGACCTACCAGTCGAGACCGACCCAACACCGCTAGGAGACTTTCGACACAAGGCACCTCCGCAGGTCACAAGGGATTCCCACAGCCACAATCAATATCCGATGCCTCCCAGTCCACCTTACAAACGAACCAGGCTCTGATACCACTTGTTATGTAAATTTCCAGGAAATCAAGATGAGATAACAAGGACAAAAGAACACAAGAATTTGGTAACCCAGTTCGATCACTATGATCTACGTCTGGGAGCGCTGCCAAGCCAGGAAGTACGCAGGCTCATGTTAAAGTGAAAATACATGGATATTTATAGCCTAAGCCTTTGATAATAATATCCAAATCATATCTCTAAAATCTAAAATATAATATTCAAATCATATCCCTAGATTTTAGGATATAATCAGGTTTCATATCCCAACAATCAATACCGGCAGGAGACTTTCGACACAAGGCACCTCCGCAGGTCACAAGGGATTCCCACAGCCACAATCAATATCCGATGCTTCCCAGTCCACCTTACCAACGAACCAGGCTCTGATACCTCTTGTTGCGGAAATTCCCAGGAAATCAAGACGAGATAATAAAGACAAAAGAACACAAGAATTTGGTAACCCAGTTCGATCACTATGATCTACGTATGGGGGCGCTGCCAAGCCAGGAATTTTACTATAAAGTACGCAGGCTCATGTTAAAGTGAAAATACATGGATATTTATAACCTACGCCTTTGACAATAATATCCAAATCATATCCCTAAAATCTAAAATATAATATTCAAATCATATCCCTAAATTTTAGAATATAATCAGGCTTCATATCCCAACAATTATTTTTTTATCTGTGAAATCAATACAAATTAAAATCTTCAAGCTCAAATCAAATCTATAAATTAAAAAAAATATATAAATTTTCAAATCCAATCTAAAATTCAAATTTAATTTAAATTCAAATCTATTCTTTTCAAATTTAGCCAAAAGTAACATAACCAAAGTAAACCAAGCATATGACTCAGATATATATTTTAACATGCTAATATAAAATAGGCCAAGTGTATTTAGCAAATATGCCTGCCCTAACCTATAACCAGAGTAAAGTCTTGTTACAATTGTGTCCTTACGGAAGGAAGAGTGTCGTCTCCCCTCCTGCCCCCTCGCCTCACTGCTCTCCCTCCCACGATGGCCTTGTCCCCCTCGTTCACTCCTCTCGGGGCATCTTCTTCCTCCACTTCTCCTCATTCAACCCCCTGCGCCAGCGCCCTTCTCTCTGCTTCCCATCCCCAATCTTTCCTTGCTTTCACTTTTTCTTCCTGTTCCCTCCTACACCATTCCTCTCTCACTCTAACCCTTAAACGTTCCCGCACTCGCTCTTCTCTTCTCATGATCAGATCCCAGACTTCTACAGGTTCTTAATCACTGGCAGTCATGGCATTACCCCTATTTTGCAGTATTCGAATGCCTTTCACTTTTTTTTACTCTCTCAGTCTCTCACGTTGCAGACTTCACATCTGAACCCGCTTTCTATAAGGTTGAAGCCATTTTGAGGTGCTCTTTATTTTGTTGTTATGATTTTTAAATTGAATTTCTTTAAAATTATCTTCTTGCTTTCTCTAACGCTGCTTCTTCAATACAACTTCGCCTTCATATATTTTGGAATTCTTGCATAGACCCTGGAGGATCCCGCAGGTTTCATCGGTAAAACCAATCGTTTACAATTTCTATCAATTTGTTTTGTGCTTTTCTTTTCAATTCAATTTATTGTTCTTGCCTTGTGTTCTCCCTTCTTCATCTTTTTGTTTGCCTCCCCCATTTATACGATACATCACTTTTATCTCACTCTTGTATTCCGATGGCAAAACTGAATCATCCCCATTCTATCATTCATCCGAATCATTTTGAAATCCATTTCTAGATGTCGTTGTGTGACATCTATTGGTGGCCCGGCGTGTCACGTGCAAATGTTTCTTGAAGTGAACTTAGATTATTCAATGTCATTATCTTATCTAAGCGTTTTATTAGAATTTCTTCCAATGATTATTTTTTATTATTTACTTGCATGCCTCTATATGCATTATAGTTAGTCAGTGATTGGACAACACATCTGTGCATCTCTTTGGTGGGAAATGTATCTTACTCAACCTTCTATGGCATGTGCATAGGTTAAGATTTATCATCCTTAGTTTCTGTAAGCTGTATCTAATTTCAGACATGATCCACATTGTCATTTTCCTTATTTAAAGATTTTAATTGATATCATAATGAAGGCATTGTTAAAAATTGGAATCCGGGGAGTTACAGTTTCTGATGTACGAGGCTTTGGGGCTCAAGGTGACTTGACAGAACGACATGCTGGTACATTCAAATAATAACTTCCATGGTTTGCATAATATATTAATGGTCTTCTTCATAGTTCATACCCAAAATATATTAATTGTAGGATGGCTCATGTTCATGCTGCAATGTTAGTACAATGAAATAAGCATATTTGGTTATAGGTTTGGAAATTGAGTTTAGGATTTTGAATAGTAATTTTTTTAAATGAAATAGTTGTTAAATGTGATATAAAATATAAATAGTATGAATGTGATATTTTGAATATAAAACTAATTATTTATTATAATACAATAAATTAAAAATAAGTGATTGATTTGATATTTTTGCGAGGAATTTCTTTTATGAATAATAAATACCTGATCCAAAACCTACAAACAAACACAACTAATTTCTTGGATCTGTACTTTTCTTTTCTTCAGGCTCGGAATTTTCTGAAGATAAGTTTATTGCAAAAGTTAAGATGGAGATTGTTGTGTGCAGAGATCAGGTATGGGAACAATTGGACTTTTGATATGCATATGTTTCTGTAATTTTACAGCTGTAATCTTGTAAACCATTGGTAACTTACGCATTTGGTGGTCAGGTTGAAGAAGTTGTTCAAATGATAATTGAGGAGGCAAGAACTGGAGAGATTGGTGATGGCAAAATATTCTGTGAGTTTATAAAAATTTATGACACTATTTCAGTTATGAGCTCAAACTTAACCTTTACGTTCAAACTTCAACTTGTTTCTCATTTCTCTGTTTTTTTCTTCCTACTCATCTGTGATGTTTTTGATGGCCAGTCTCCCTTTTTCTCAGTTCTATATTTATGTAATCCACTAGATCATAGTATTGAGCCCTTCCCACGGGAAGAATAAGCGTTCTCAGAGTTGCTACAATAGCTTTGCGCCCATCTTTTCTTTTGTCCTATATGTTAGTTGTTGAAAGCAACTAGTGTCATATCTAATGCAGATAGAAATTACTAATAGTTTTTTCATAGCATCGTTTTCAATTCATAGAGAGATATCATCATCAAGAGCAATAAAAAGTGCATCATGGACTGATATTTCGGAAGGTACTGCTCAAGGAAAGGAAAGCTTGACTTTTGGATGATGAAGAACGAAGAAAATGTATTAAGCTGAAATCATATATCAGATCAAAAATTAACCTTACTAGATGATGGATCTCAATTATTATCCATGCAAATTTGGTTTGGGATCCATGTTCGACAGCTAGCAATCCTAAAATTTTAGCATTTGACGACCAATATGTTTCTTGTTCAAAATATCAAAACAAAGTTAATACTAGAGCATAGATTTAAGAGGGTGGAGTGGGGTCTAAGAACTAGTGAACGGATAAGTGAAAGTTTGATATGCCACCTTGCTTGATTTGATCATTTGCTCCTTGTGTAAATTGTTGGTTAGTGATAATGTGCAAATAAAGACAAGAAACTTATTTTAATATATTATCCCTCACAAATTGGACTTGAACCATTATTAAGTGACTTGCTGTTTCTTTAGGTGTGTTTGTTTGGGGTTTTGGATTTTGAGTTTGAGATTGAGATTTGAATAGTAAACATTTTGAATTGGAATAGTAGTATGATGTGCTATGAACAGGTGTTATGTGATATTTTGAATATAAAATTAATTTTTTCGTATATTATAAAAAATGAAAAACAATGTGTTTGATTTGATTTTGTTAGGGAAGAATTATATTAATAGTAAAAATTTGGTAAAACCTTCCAAAGAACACACCCTAATTGATCATGAGTGGGTGTGTTGTCCTCGTTATACGTCTCCTACAATCATATGCTTTTTATTGGTATAGCTTTTTCACCTTAGTAGGTCAATCTCAGCTGCTAATAAAATAAGGCTAGGAACCAGAACCTAGATGAATAGTCTATAGAGAGTTTAGTCAAAATTTGTACTCTTTTGGCATTAATCGTTTTATCTTAGGGAGCTTGTGTGTCTTTAGGTTGGAAGTAATGGAATGCTTTCATTATCTAGAATGATGCCACTTGCAGGTAGATAGTTCATTTCTTGAATCTACACTATTTGAGCACTCAACATCACATCCCTTTTGGATGGTTCGGGAAGCTAGCCCTTGCTGGTATTGGTGCAGTTTTTAGGAACCACATCAGACATATCCTTTTTATTCTCTCTCAGCATATTGGTTTCACGGGCTTAAATGTGGTGGAATTCTTAGCTAATTAAAAAAAGCTTTGGATTGCCTTCTTAATTCTCATATCTGATTCTTGCTTTGCATTTGCCTTAAGAGTTAGTCACCCTTTCTTGGATTCTTGGTGCAGCACCCTGCATGGCAGTTGAATTGAAGATTAATACTTTTTGTCATCATATCTCAAAATGTTCTTTCCTCTCATTTGAGGACACCTCTCTGTTAATGCTTTGACCATTTTTTGGGAAGTGGAGGACAAAGGGCAAGCCGATCTCATACTTCGGATTTAATCTCTTATATTTTTTCTTGTATCTTTTATTTAATATTATCCTAATCTAATTATAAATTTACCTTTATAAAAAAGACATTGTTTCAATGAATATGAATGAAATGGATATGGCTCTTTATGAGCTACTGTTTTAGTGTGTCTTGGTTACGAGATGATTTAAGGAACAAGTTTTGAAGTATTAACCCTTGTTGATTGGTCTTAAGCTGGCATATTAACCCCTGTCAATCGGCGTTAAAGCACCATTCTTGTCGGAATAGTGATAAATTCGTATCCATCTTGGTTGGAACAAGACCAAGGTGATATTAACTCAGTATGTAACATAAGTGAGCAATAAGCCAATATCATTTAATCTCAATCACTCTTATAATTTTGTTCACATTAAATTGTTCAAATTTTTAATTAATTAATTTATTTTTATATTTAGTTATAATTTTCGATCATATTGCAATTTCTGATGGTTGTAATAGATCATCTAGTTGAAATTGTAGCACTCTTTACTAGGCGTTCTGGTGTAGCAATTCACTAGACTGCAATGTTGCAATCAAACTTTGGGGCATGGCAGAGCCATAGAGCTGTATGATACCGGTTCTTGAAGATAACGTCAAATCCTATTAAAAAGTGGAATCTTGTCCCTCATACAGCTTTAGTAATGGAGAATTACAACTGGATTTATACTATAGAGATCCCTGGGAGAAGATTTCAGAGAAGGAACTGGGGCAGGGCAATGATCAGATAGGTGGTAAATTCCGATCATACAACTTCAGTAAAAATTCCTTATTGAAGTTCATCCTGAATGAAGGATTTCAAACCTTTGTATTAAGCTCCGCAGCAGCACTAAATACTAGCTAGTCAAGGAATGAAGTCAGGAGACAAGAATCAAGTGAACTAAGGGCATTACCGGAGAGATAATAATAGCACATTGAAATAATTACCAGGACACAAGATTTAAATTGAGATTAGTAGTCGTTGCGCTTTGAAAGGTATACATGTATATAAAGATTGTTATCAATTATCATATCTCACAGTGCAGCTGTACAAGTTAGAGGCTTCATATGCAAAGATTAATATCCTATCTCCTAGTGCAGCTGTATGAAAGTTAGAGGCATCATATGCAAAGATTAATATTCTATCTCCTAGTGCAGCTGTATGAAAGTTAGAGGCATCAGTATCTGTGGCTCCCACAAGGCTTATGGCTGGGTGCCTTGCATAATTTATGGTCATTGGCTATGTGAGATTGTTTCAAAATCATATTTAGGGAGCATTTCCATAATGTTTCAGCTCAGTGGTTTTATGTTGTAAAGTTGTATAAATAATTGTAAATTGCAGTTACTGACATGATTTAGTTTAATTGTGCAGTGATACCTGTGTCAGACGTTATAAGAATCCGCACCGGTGAGTATTTTCTGTTCTATTGACAAAAAGCAGGTAGCTGCTTGTGTTTTGTTTGAACAAGTTCGGATCCACATGAATTCTTAATCAGGTGAGCGAGGAGAACAGGCAGAGAGGATGGCAGGAGGGCGGGCAGATTTGTTCTCCCATGCTACTGGAAGTCTGGACTCTGGATCAACATCCTCTGCTTGAGCTGTAAGAACTGTTGGGCATTAGTGACAGTTGATGTTTCTTGAAAATTGCTTTTTCTCCTACTATTTCTAGTTGAAGAGTTGGAAGTGGGATATGTATGCACACTGGAGTAGAGTAGATGACATGAAATGGGACTAGACTAAGACTACCTTGGCTTGGGAATCTTGTTGTTTCACAGGTGGTTGGCGGTGGTGGACTGGTGTGACTGAGTTGGTTAGGTTCTCTCTCTCTCGAAGCAGGCAAGCACTCAGTACCAGTTGTCACAACCAACAAATATGTTGGTGGCATGGAAGAATTAGAATAAGACGGAAGAAGCAAAGAGGAAAACTCAAAACACACTAGGAACTTGCAAAATGAGAGCTCATAATTGTGTTTGAACAAATGTCGTCACACAGTTGAATTTTTTATGGAAAGGAATTTAAATTATACAGTAGATTTAATTTTTAATCTATTTTTCTTAGAAATACAAAGAGAGAAGATTACCTTATTCCTCCAACACTCAAATTTTCTTCCCCAATTTCTTCTCTGCAAGATCTATAGCGATTTTCAAACGATTTCATCATATTATCTCACAGATTGTATCTTCTCCACCATAAATGTTTCCTTCAGAACTCTCATAAGCCCTCTCTCTCCCAGTGCTTTGACCTTTGGTGCTAAAATTCTTTGCTTTTATTTCTTGTTATGTGGAAGCTTGGATTTAAGGTAAGTCGATTGCGTCATTATTATCTTTTGGGAGCTAGGCAAACATGACTTCATTGTTGTTTGGTGGAATGTCCATACAAATTTTTGAAAACTTACCAACAAATATGACGATCCTATGTCACTTTTTTTAAAAAAATAAATTATATATTTCAATTTCATTTTAAATTTGATATGAAAGCTTACATGGAGGGTTGCAACTATTGGGAGACAGTCAGAACAAAACTATGACATTGCTTCACTTCTAAATAATTCAACCATAAATCAAAATTAAAATTAACAAGGAGAGGGTCACCAAAAAAGCAAAGGTTCGAGTTTGCTTATATATTCAACTGTTTCACCCGCATTATTCAATAGAATAATGGCTTTCAACTCAGTAAAAGAAATATAGAAAACTTTTTTTAAAGCCGAGTATAAATATAATGAGAGGATCAAAAGTATGAAGCCACTTAATTTAATTAAGAAATTTGAGAGAATTCAATGTGTTTGTTTTGGTGTTCAAATAAGCGAGAAATTGTTGTAGCTGAAGTAAGGAAAAGGCGTTGAAGTGTTTGTTGATAACCAAGCTGCTATTGCTATTTCACTTAATTCTATGTTTCATAGAAGAACCAAGCATTTTAAGGTGAGGTGCTACATGTTAAGATAAGTGCAAAAAGAAATAAAATTATTGTATTATAACTCAGAGGAACACGTTGCAGAAATATTCACAAAAATATTCACAAAATGTGGGACAATTTGAAATATTAACGAATAAACTGGGAGTTTGTCGTACTTGATTCATGAGGAATTTGTGAGGAATTCAAATATGCTGCTTATTTAATTTAGATTTAAATTTTTTAATTTGAATTAAATTTCCATTGAATAAGTCATATAGTTTAGAAAGTAAGTTACTTTCTTGTTAGTTAGTCCTATTATTGTGTAGGGGATTGGATAGTAGTTTTTAAGTTTAAATTTGTCTTAGATGTATTTTTCAGAAGAGTTTAACAATATTCTTGCATTTGATCTCTTATTTTTCAAAACAATATAGTCGAAGTACAAGAAGAATTGAAGGAAAAAAACAAAAAAAAACCAAGACACCTAAGCGGCCTCGTCGAGGGTGGGTGCGGGGCAGGGCCATTGTCACCATCTTGTGTTAGAGAAAAAGAAGAGGAAGAATAAAAAAAAAAATTAAAAAAAAGGATGAGGAAGAAGGTCGGGCGAAGATTTTCGAGCCTTTTTATTTAAATAAAATACTAATATATACTTCCACCATTTATTTTAAAAATATTTATTTATTTTTGGGTCAGAATTTAAAAAATAGTAAGTATTTTAATTATAGTGGACAGTTAAAAGTAATGTAAAGATAACTTAATTTTTATTTTTTCGTGTAAAAATAATGATGTGATGGTAAAGTGAAGGTATTAGTAAAAAAAATAAAATAAAATGATAATTTTGTAATCGAGCAACTCAAAATAGAAATATATATAATTTATAAGTAGACGGAGATAGTATAATAAAGCTTCGGACATTCCGAAACCATTTAAATGAACTCGAAAACTTCCAAACCTTTTTATTTAAATAAAATGATATATATATTAAAACTTTAGAAATTTCGAAACTATTTAAATAGTCTCGGAAAACTCTGAGCATTCTTATTAAAATAAAATAATATATATATATACATAGTTTTGAAAATTGTGAGACTATTTACATAGACTTGGAAAATTCCATACCTTTTTAATAAAATAATACTTTCTTCATTATACTTTATTTGTCTATTATTATTTTTATTTTCGTCTGTGTTACCCTATTTGTCATTTTCTTTTCAAAATAAATTATTATATATTTTAATCAAATTTTAAATTTTATAATTAATAGTTTTTCAATCTTAATTAAATTAATTAATTAAGTTCATTATAATCTTAATTTATACATATGTCTCAACATAGTTGACACATTTCATTAGAATGATGTTTAATTAATTAATAATAATTAATTATGATATTATTTTATTATTTTTATGAGATTAGTAATATTGATATTTTTAAAATAAATTTAATATATATGATTAAAAAATTAAAATATGTATTTAAATATTTTAAAATTATACAATAAAATATATATGTAATATGAATATCATTTTGTAGAGAATAAATTTTTTTATAATACAAGTAAATAATTTTTTTTTTATTTATACTTAATATATATTAATTTTATAAAAGTGATAGAGTTTTAAACGTAGATAAAAAATATTTATTTTTTTTAGGAGAGAGATAGAAATAAAGAGGTTTTGAGTGAGTCCTTGATGTATGATGTTATATGTTATGTATTTAGTTAAGTTTATTTATATTTGTTAACTATATTTTAATTTAGTAAGTTTTATCCAAAATAGAAATGTATCAATTGTTTTAATGGAAATTGTGTCAATTGTGATGGTGTCAATTGTGAGGGGACGAAAGAAGTAATTATGGGAACGGTTAGGATGTTGATTAGCCATAATCCGTCCTATTAACAATTTAATCCAATGGTGATGATTTTTTGAAGGGGTAGAATAGTATATTTTAATTTATATATAAGATCACACAACCGCACACACAATCTATTCATTCAATTTAAACGATTCTTTCTTAATATTTCAAGTTCCTTTTTCGATCAGATTTGACTTTCATTCATGGAAACATAACAATATTATAGCAATGCAAAATCACACACATAAAAAGAAAATAGCACATAGAAATATATAAATATATATATAATAAAAAAATATATATAAACCCTAAAACAAATCCCTTAGTCATACTGCAATTTTTCAGGCGTATCAGTAAAAATATTGATTATATATTTCTAGTAATAGTACACACAACAATATTATATAATCTTTTCACATGATCATATATACAAAACAACAACATAATATGTGTAGAAAAGCACACAACTTGCAGCAAAAAAACATAAGGAATATGTATAATAAAAATAAATAAATAAATCCTGAAAACCGTAGAACTAATCTTTTGATCGTACTGCAACTTTTCAGAGTGTCAGTAAAAATTAATTATTACTATATTTATAAAATTATTTTGTTAAAATAACAAAAATATCATACACCATATATAAATAGATAAATAACACACATAATAAATAAATAAATCACACTATAACCAAATAAAAGCACACAAACAATAATACTATACACTACAAAAAAAATAATATATTTGTAACAGAATTACGTCCCTAATGTTAACGTAGCTAACGTAATTTCATTCCTAATTCCGTCTCTAATGTCATTAGTAACGGAAAAAGTAGATTTAGAGACAAAAAAAATTTGTTACAAAAATAATTTTTTCTTGTAGTGAAAAGAAAACAACAATATTATAGCAATACAAAATCACACACATTAAAACAAAATAGCACAAAGAAATATATATAATAAAAAATAAATAAATAGATCTTGAAAACCCTAAAACTAATCTTTTGGTTGGTCATACTACAATTGTTCAATATGTAGTAAAATTGAATTATTATGACATTTTTATGTTTCTAAAATAATTTTGTAAAGATAATAAAAATACCATACTTGAATTACACATAATAGATAAATAACACACATAATAAATAAAATATATATATAACGAAATAAAAGCACAACAAACAACAATACTATATAAACAAAACACCAACATTATTACAATACAAAATCACACACATAAAAACAAAATAGCACAAAGAAATATATAAATATATATAATAAAAAGTATATATATAAACCCTAAAACTAATTCGTTAACCATACAGCAATTTTCTAATATATCAGTAAAAGTAATGATTATATTTTTCCAATAATAATAACACACAACAATACTATAAAATCTTTTCACAAGATCATACATACAAAACAACAACGTAATATGTGTAAAAAAACACACAACATGCAATAATAATAATAATAATAATAATAACAATAATAATAACACAAGAAATATGTATAATAAAAATAAATAAATAAACCCTGAAAACCCTAAAACTAATTTTTTTGATTGTATTGCAATTTTCAGTTTATTGGTAAAAATTAATTATTATTATATTTTTATAATTTCGAAATTATTTTGTTAAGATAATAAAAATATCATAATAAAAATAAGCACTCCTAATAAACAAAACAACAACATTATATAGCATTACAAAATCACACGTATTAAAATAAAATAGCCCAAAAAAATATATTATATCAACACATAATAAAAATTTTGTATATATATAACTAAAACTAATTTGTTGGTCGTCCTCAATTTTTTCAGTGCGTCACTAAAACTAGGTGCAATGCCTAATAAGAAGGCCGCAGGTACAATTTGAATTTAAAATTCAGCACTGTGTTGAATAACACATTGTGTGCTATTAGACAATACATGATGTTACTACAAACAACACATATGTTAATATAATACAAGTACAACATATGAACTACAACATATGAACAAAACACACATGCTATAGTCTCAACAACACACAATATTACTAAAGACAACACATTGTATATGTTAATATAATACAAATACAATACATGAACTAACAAATATAATAACCTAATAAATTTTTTATAAGTTCTTAAACTGATATGGCATGACCTGACTGAGGGAGAAAATATAAGAACGGTTTTTGAGATTATTACATTGCATATGGTCTAAAAGTAATGATTATATTATTATAATTTTTTAATAATTTTAATAAAATAGTACACATTACAAATAAATAGATAATATAATATGATAAAAGCACACACACATTTTCATTTAAAATTTTAAATATAGTATTGTAATATAAACAAAACAACAATACTACATCAATAGTAACTCGTCAACATTAAAACAAAAAAGTATAACGAATATATTTTAGAATATATATATAATAAATAAAATATAAACCCTAAAATTATGTATATGTAAAACTTCATGATTATATTTTTATAAATATTTAATAATTTTATTAAATTAATAAAAATATTTTATATAAATAGATAAATGACACATATTCTAAATAAATAAATCTCATATTTAAAGTAAGAAAAACACACATAAAGTTTTCATTTAAAATTTCAATTTTCGCTGTGTTAGTAAAAATTAATGATTATATTTTTATATATAATTATTTTAATAAGTTTATTAAAATAATAATATTATATTTAATATAGTACATTGATAGCATATCCTACAAATAAATAAATTGCATATACAATATATTAAAAGCACGCAGTCTTCCTATTTAATAAAGCATAAAAACGCATTAAAACCATCAATATACAAATAGTTTCAAAAGTTAAAACACCAAATTAAATACATAAAGAAAATAAAATTACATACCTATTTAATTATATATCCATCTAACGGTTAATAATAATTATATATATTATATTATAATTATTTTTATTAATATATTTTTTAAGTATACTTTATATAAATTTTTCGTATCTATAGAAAACTAGACCTAAGATATGGACGAAGGGAGTGTTATGTATACTATCGTCTTGAAATTTCCGAGATCACATAAATTAAAATTAATTTTATATTTTTCTAAAATATTTTTTTAGAGTATTGAAATGGATTCCGAAATTATTTTCCAAACAAATATCATTTTTTTTTGTAGTGTGTATTTAATTTGCAAGAAAGACTGGAGGAAGGGTTTTTGTCTAACTAATAGTTTTAAGTATGTATGTTGCAAGAAAGACTAGAGGAATAGTTTTTGTGAGTATGTTTCTTTAGCTGAGTTTTTTTAAATTTTATTATTTGAACTCTGTATTTTTAAAAAAATATTTTTTTTTTCTCACAAAATATTCCATTAAATATTATTTTTATATCAAACTTAAACTAATTTTTTTCCAAACTTATCAAAAGAAACACACAAACCGTCTTTCTAATTAATTAATAGTTTTGAATATGCTCGTATATTGTTTGTGAGAAACAAACTTAGATGATAGGTTTAATTTGTTGTTACCATTCTCCGTGCACGCAAGACTTAGACATCATAAATGCCGGTATTCATCAGCCTCTTGTCTATAGTTTCTTCAAGGTTGACCTTTTTACTAATAGGAGCCTGCACCCACCACACAAAGTATCGAGTTAATTAATAAATTAAATTGTGGTATATATGAAAATGGAGTTAGGCGAGGAGAATATCACAAACACAACTCGTACTCGATCACTCGTAGTAGTAGTGTTGTGTTGTTTGGTGGTCTCCAGCACTCCACCTCCACTCCACTCCACTCGTATTATATGTATGTATGTATGTATGTACCTCAGTGGGATTGCCATTTAATTAGCGTCGAAGCTGCATCATGCATGACACGTACGTACGCACTCTCTCTCTCTCTCTCTCTCTATATATATATCATTTGTTTCTCTGTGCGTGTGCTGTGTATGCATCTATATATATTGCTTCTACTATTTATGAGCTATCCATATCGTCCAGAGCTGCTGCCTGGTTCTATATGCCATGCGTCGTTAGAGGTTTGGAGCTTAATTGCTGCTGCTACAAGTTGAATTACATCCAACCCCAACCTCACCGATCGATCGTCGTAATTAATTATATATATAATTAATTTTAGTACTATATTCTATTATATATATTATGGCGCGGCGCATCCTCGGCCTTGCTCATCACCACCTCCTGCAGCTGCAGCTGATCATCGTCTTTTGTCTCCACATCACTATAAATCATGACTGTTGTTGTCGTGCTGTTGATTCCGAGCCTGCCTCCTCCTCCTGCATCAGCAGCCGCAAGAATACTCCGGTGATTTTCAACTTTGGCGACTCCAACTCTGACACTGGGGGACTTGCCGCTGCGACCGGATTCAACTTTGGGTACCCTGACGCCCGCGCCTTCTTCCACCAGCCAACTGGCCGCCTCTGTGATGGCCGTTTAATCATCGATTTCCTGTGTAAGTGATCTGTTTTATATATATATATATATATATATATGTATACCAATACCAATACCAATACCAATACCATCGTTGTTCATCATCACAGTTAATTAAATCTTATGCTTTAATTTGCATCCACAATCTGCAGCTAGCAATTAATTAATAGTCATGGCATGTCAAGATCAAGATTAATTAAGAGCGATCGTGAAAATATGTCTATCATCAGTTAACTGTTGATCATAATAATTAATTATAGTATTCCTGTGCTGTGTGGTGGCCGGATCGAGGATTAATTCATGGTAATTACTATTAATTAGACTCACTGTATGCGCAAATTGAATTGGATTTCACCTCACCCACTCGCCCATATCAGGGGAGAATGTGACGAATACACCTCAGTACGCTTACAATAAATACTTGACCCCATACCTTGAGTCGGTGGAACCTGATTTCTCCAATGGAGCCAACTTTGCAGTAGGTGGCGCGGCCACGCTCCCACGATATGTTCCTTTCAGCTTGGACATCCAGGTCCTTCAATTCAGGCGTTTCCGCAACCGCTCCCTCTACTTCAGCGGCAGCTCATCATCCAAGTCCAACAACGACAATCATCTTCTGCTGCCGGGGGGAGATGATTTTAGAAATGCACTCTACACATTCGACATTGGACAGAACGACTTGTCTGCTGCGTTCACCTCCGCGGTGGATGGCCGTTCATCATATGATCAAGTTGTTGCAAAGATCCCCACTTTCATAGCTGAAATAAGGGACGCCATGTGGGTATGTATGTATGTATGCGCGTGCACGTGCGCGTGCTTGCTAACTCCATTGTCCCAGCTAGCTAGCTAGCTCCGTTAATTATTACTGATTAGTTAATAATGACTGCATGCGTGCGCGCAGGCTATTTATCAATTTGGTGGGAAGAATTTCTGGGTGCATAACACAGGGCCGTTGGGCTGTTTACCAGAAAAACTGGCCACTTACAGAACAAAAACCAGCAGCAGCAAGGGTGACGACGACATTGATGAATACGGATGCATCAAGTCTATGAACGAAGCCGCAAAAGCATTCAACGCGAGGCTTGATGCGCTCTGTCAAGACCTACGCTTGCAGATGACTAAGAAGAATAACTCAACCGCTATTAATATTGTGTACGTGGACGTGTACTCCATCAAATACCATCTCATTGCAAGTGCTGCATCATATGGTGAGCCACCAGCTGGCGGGCTGGAGACCTAGCTAACAGCTGCAACTAATTAATTATTATGATATATACTAGCTAATTAATTAAGTGAATGAATGTCGAATGTATATTATTATTATTATTTAGTTAGTTAGTAACTAGTTATATATACATATATATACAATATACTTGTGAACAGGTTTTGAGAATCCATTAATGGCATGCTGCGGGCACGGGGGACCGCCATACAACTACGACGCCAGCGTGAAGTGTAGGGACCAAGGCCAAGGCTACAACATATGCAAACCCGAGTCCCTCTACGTCAGCTGGGATGGAGTACATTACACTGAAGCCGCAAATGCCATTGTCGCATCAAAGATACTCTCCGCCAAATATTCCACGCCTCCCCTCAAGTTTAGCAGCTTCTTCTGTAATTAATTTATAAGTAGAGTCTTACGCCACACAGCTTTTGAATCTCCCATTTATATATTATTATTATTGTCAAAGGATGGATGGATGGATAGTGAATATAATAAGAGCAAAACATTGTCTTGCACAGCCCTATACCCGCATTTGTTGTTTGCAATCAATTTTTCGTAACAATTAAGTGTACTACTCACTAAGTTTCAAATTTAGGATATCTATTTAACCTTTTTTATATATATATAAAATACTATCTTAGTTAAAACCAAATGTATCTCTATGAAATTTTTTAATAGAATCAATAATAATAATATTTTATTGGTTATTATAAATATATAAAAATAATAATATATATTTGTAATTTATATAAAAATTAAAAATATTTTGATATTAATATGTAAATATTTTTATTATAATAAAATATAAATATTTCTTGAGACATATAAAATTAAATAATAAAATGATACTTTCAATTGCGACTTAAGAAATAAATAATTTAAAAGTACCAATGAAAAATAAAAATAACTCCAAATTTATACAACTAAGTTAAAATTATTCCACGCTTAAAACGAAATTAGCCCCAAATTTTCTCCCTCACACCACATTGTGTGCAACCCTTTCCTTCTCGTTAAACACTGGTTGTCGTTAATCATCAGAGTTCTACGACTTCACGTTGGCGGAGTAATGGAGCCACCATATATTCCTTGGTTTCCAGCCACAAAGGTTAGGTAAATGTAGGTAATAGTTGTTCCGCAATAATTTTGATGGTATTTATCATTCACCTAGAGTTTAACACAATACCGTACAAATCATGCTATCCTGTGGTGTTGTTCCAGGATTACGGGTTTTGATACAAAACTATTTTCCCATCCAATCAAGTTTTCTTCTTTGTTTGAATCACACGCTATATTGTAAGAGTGTTTGATTTAATTCCATTCTATGTTATTCTAAGTGCTATGTATGATTAGAAATGTACACTTATTTAGATCTTCTTTGATTAGTTATTTTGTTGTCCTCCTGATTTATTCTTTGGTTGTAAAAGGTAGGAATTGAGCATATAGAAACGAGTCTCTCACTATTTAGTGGGGATATATTATTATAGACAACGGGAGGTAATATAAAAATATAGTAATATTTCATGTATTTGACTATATATTGATAATGAAAGATATTGAATAAAATAAAGTACAAGTTGTAGAGTACCTTTGGCATATCAAATAAAAATTTTTTTACATTATTTGGTTGGTCAACTAAAAAATTTGAGTTAATTCAAAAAACATATTTATATGAGTACGTAAAAATTGGGATATTTGAAATAATGAATAATCAACTTTATTGATGATGGCATTTAGAGCTTTTAAATTCGTATTGCATAGTATTTTTTCTTCGAAGTATATTGTGTCATTGACTTTTCAACCATCACATCTGATTCCCTCTAACTTTTGTCTTTCAATTTTGATGGTCTTCAGAGGAGGAGACCATCCGTGCATCATCGAATCCTAAGCTTCTTCATTTATTAATTTGACGAAGTATTTGTTGGAAAATAGGTTAATTTTTTAATTAATGAAATTTAATTTTAAATTAAATTTATAATTTTTGGAAACTATTATTCGGTGATTTGAAATAATTGTATAGTGGTTATTGATATTGTGATTATGCATATAAATGCTAGTAAGCTACAAGTGTACCCCGAATTCAAAAATTATAATTACATGCATGTATAATAAATTATTATTTGAAATTTAAAATTTCAAATAATATATTTGTGACCGGAATTAAATTTGATTTTTATGACCGGAATTAAATTAGTGTTTATGACCGAAATTGAGTCTGGTGTTTATGATACCGGAATTAAGAGTCAAGACGGTTTTGACTAGGGAAATTTATTTCTCAAGGGATAGAGTGCCTATAAAAGGCTCTCTCCACCACTTCATTTGATACACCAACCAAGAGAGAACGCTCTTCTATCCCTCTCTTCCTCTCTAAGTTTCCGGCAAAATTTTCGGCGAGTTGCCGGTCAATATTCCGGTCACTTGCACTTATATTAATCCTCCAATATAGCTCAAGTCCCTTCATTTCAGTTCGCCGGAGCTCCGAAATATTGGGGTGACACCTAATTCGGAGACGGACGTCGTTTTATCTTTATGAATGTTACGCCACGAATTGGAGGCACTACCGGGGCGTATTCGTTTTTAAGGAAAGAGGTTCTACCTCGAATCGACGTGATTATCGAATTTATTTCGATAAAGTTATTGTGATTATCAAATTTATTTTGATAAATGGATTATCGAATTTATTTCGATAAATTATTATTGACTATTAAATTTATTTCGATAAATAATTTTGATATCAAATTTTATTTTTCGATAAAAAATTTTCCAACAGTATTTCATCTTTATTTTCCAATATTGATTTTTCTTTATCATGCAATGGAGATCTTGAGATAGAACTATTTTTTATTTTTTTTTTGTTCATGATGATGAGTCACTCGTTAGAAACATCAAGAAGCTTACTCTGATTTCAAATTTGCTCAATTGAACAACAATAAATAAAAATATTAAAAGATTACTCAAACAGATTCAACTACGGACAAATTATTTGTGAATTGATTAAACATATGCATATTAAGAGCAATAAAATTGAAACACACAGAAATTGTTAATCCAATTATGTTATGAACTAACTACCTATATCTGAAGGCACCAACTCAAGCACACATCAACTCCTCAAAAATCAAGTCGAGCTTACAAAATTGCAATATGAGATGTTCTACTTAAAAATCCCCATCCATTATTTCCAAGGATTTTCCACTCTCACCTCACACAATCTACAACTTTGCAGCCCACTTATTATTCCCCGAAAGAATTGTCAAGTTTTTCACATTTTGTGCTATAGATTGTTCTACACAAAATCTCAATCACTTTCTTGGTCACTTACAAATTTTGTTATAATAATTTTTTTTTTTTCAACCACCAACGACAATTGAGATAAATTGCAATCAATTTTTAATCTTTGGACCATGAATTTGATTTGAATAATCACATATATATATATATATATATGCATGTGCGTGTGAATGCAGACATAAAAATTGACCCTAATGCTCACATTTGATTTTTTGAGTTTGCTATGAGTCGTAATTATCTTATGATTTTGACATTTTAAATATAATACAATTAAAGAAAGTTAAATTTGTAATTCTCTTCTTGGATATGGATTAATTAAATTAACCATCATATTTACCCAAAAAAATCCACAAAAAATATACTTACAATTTAATTTGATAAGAATATGATTAACATTACATCTATAATGCAGTCTCTTTAAAGAAAAGATAGCATAGAATATTATATGATTTTTTTTTTTTTCCACGTTATGAATTTAGTTTTGACTATGATGTTTAATTCACAATAATACAATGAACGAAACATGAATATATTATAATGAAGTATTGGTAAATTATTTTGGAAAGTGATTTCTAATTTTTTTAATATTCATTAAAAAAAATTAAAAATATAAAGTTAAACATCTTATATTTTTATTTTAGATTATTATAAATATTTATTCCTATTATATTAAATAATATTTTAACTTAAAATTTAAATCCAAACTTCAAACAAACAACTTTTGTGATGGAAACTGGATGGAATACTCTTCACTCCAATTTGGTTTACAAAAATTTCCAGGTCGAAAATTTGGGCTCTGTTCTTTTAATAGTATTTTTTAATTTTAATTTCTAAAAAGTAATTATAAACAATATCAATTTTTTTAAAAAAAAATATTTATTATAAAAAATTAACAAATTGTTGTGATATTATTATAGAATTAGTCAATAGAAATATTAATTACTTCTACCGCTAACCACTATTTTATATATTGTATATATATTATAGAATATAAAGTATATATATATATATGTATGTATAGTATGTGTATGTATGTATGATATATGTATGTATGATAGCCAACACAACATTAGGGCCGTCCCCTTCATTCTACTATGCTGACCCCGGCCCGGGCCGGCTTTTTGGGAAGCCCGTTCCCACCGCGCTCACGGCCCGGCTGGCCTGCCAGCGGTAGTGGGAATTCTCCCGTTCCCTGGTCAAAGACTTGGTTGGATGCTCGACCAGCGATAAAAAGTGTTTGGCCGAAGCCAAAAAGAGGTTGACCCACTTCATTCGCCAAGCGAATGATCTTCGCTTCGCGGGAACACCAAAAACGAAGGAATGAAATTAAAAATGTAATGCGATTGCAGTTCGTTTCATTCAGTATATATTTATAGACATGAAACATCCATACGAAGGAAACAAAAAGCAGTCATAGTATCACGTAGTTGTTACGTGTACATTTCATAACACTCCCCCTTAGATGCTTTTGTAAGAAGAATGTGCCTCGTTAAAACCTTATTAGGAAAAAACTATGTGGGACAAAAAATCCTAGTGAAGGAAAAAAAGTACAACATTCTTGTATCGATTCGCTCCCCCTGATTTGAGCATTATTTGAGATCCCTTAACCGACGCATCCCAATTTTCTTCACTTGTTTTTCAAATGTTGCCGTCGGCAATGCCTTGGTTAATATATCCGCTAAATTATTATCGGATCGAATTTGTTGCACATCAATTTCACCATTCTACTGAAGATCATGAGTAAAAAAGAATTTTGGTGAAATATGTTTCGTTATATCTCCTTTAATGTAGCCCCCTTTTAATTAAGTTATACAAGCCGTATTATCTTCATACAATGTAGTTGGGGAAATTTTATCGTCAGGTATTAACCCGCAATTTTTCAGAATATGTTGAGTCATCGACCTCAACCAAACACATTCTCGACTAGCTTTATGTATTGCCAATATTTCAACATGATTTGAAGAAGTGGCAGTTAAAGTTTGTTAAATCGATCTCCAAGAGATCACTGTTTCACCACAAATGAATATATAGCTAGTTTGAGACTTGCCTTTATAAGGATCCGATAAATATCCTGCATCGGCAAATCCAATTAATTTACGTCTTCATTTTCCTCTTTTGGTCTAAATGGATCCTTTATTGGATCGAGTGCCCTGACGATCATTGGGGTACTTAGCGGATGTGACTTATCCATCAGAAATTGTTTCAGTACCCTTTTGGTATAATTTGATTGGTGGA